CTTTGTTAACATTCTGGAGATAAGTTAAATCTATTTTAGCCATCCAGAGAAGACCCACTGTGAAATGGGCAGCAAATAAATTTAACAAATAAATAAATAAGTACTTTTTTTGTCTCAATGAACTTTTGGCTCCAGTTGATTGACAGTGTCAACCTTGGGTTGGTTATTCTTTGCTATGTAATGGTTGTTATTTTGTAAACAGCCCAGAATTATGCTACATAAGTAGGACTATCATCCTTCAGCAAAAGTACAATTTGTCAGCCCTTTGAAAATACCAAATTCAGGAAACAGAATTGCTAGCAGTATAGGAAAGAACTTAATACAGGCAGTATCTAATAGAACCTTAAATGCCTATCAAAAATATTGTTTACTTCAATTTATACTTAGCATCCATTTTCTGTTAATTAAGCATTACAATTTTGCAACTGAAAGTAATCTTATATTCTAGCTCTGTAAACCTGAAGATTGAGACAGTTGATAAACTGTAAGTGCTGGAACAGACTCCAGTAAGTCTCTTGGACTGCAAGGGGATCAAACCCGTTAGTCCTAGAGAAGATCAACCCTGACTGCTCTTTAGAAGGCCAGATCCTGAAAATGAAAGTCAAACACTTTTGCCACCTGATGAGAAGGAAGGACTCACTGGAGAAGAGTCTAATGCTGGGAAAGATTGAGGGCAATAGAAGAAGAGGACAGCAGAGAATGAGGTGGCTGGATGGAGTCACTGAAACACTAGGCGTGAGTTTAAATGGACTCCAGGAGATGGTAGAGGACAGGAAGGCCTGGAGGAACATTGTCCACGGGGTCGCGATGGGTTGGACACGACTTTGCAACTAAGAAATAAAGGAAGGAAGGAAGGAAGGAAGGAAGGAAGGAAGGAAGGAAGGAAGGAAGGAAGGAAGGAAGAAAGAAAGAAAGAAAGAAAGAAAGAAAGAAAGAAAGAAAGAAAGAAAGAAAGAAAGAAAGATAGATAGATAGATAGATAGATAGATAGATAGATAGATAGATAGATAGATAGATAGATAGATAGATAGATTACTCTTGGTCTATAAACCACTGATGATCCATGGAAATCTCTGCAGGTCTTCTTGGGATAGTATGTAGCCAGCTTTCCTAAATATCAGTGGAGATTCTCAGTCAACCAAGTCATGGTTTTCTCAATGTGCTTTTTGTTTTTCTTCAAAAGGCAACTGGACTGCGTTTTCCTTGAGAAAGAGGAAACCGCCACCATCAGAACTGATGGAGTTTCTTGGATGAGAAGTGAAACATTGTCTTCTTCCCCAACGAAAAAAACAGTCCAGTGGCCTTTTGAAGAAAAACAAAAAGCACCTATGAGGGAAGCTTTCTTAAACCATCAAACTTCATCTCTTGTGGCTGGAATTTAGAGCAGGGGAAGACCAATAAGTTACAAAGGCCCCTGTTGAAGGTGTCTGACGTCAAAAAATATTAAAATGCATTTCTTTTATTATTATTTTTGAAACGTTTTTATTGGCTTATCAAAATTTAAAATACCAAGAGAAATTTAAAAAAGTAAAGGGAAACTAGGATTATGGGAAGAGGAAAGAAAAAAAATGAGGGAAAGGGAAAGAGGGGAAAATATGAGGGAAAGAGAAAGGCTCCGACTTTAGCACAGTAAAAGATAACGACATTACAACCGCAACTTTTTAATTTTACACAACAGCATACACAACAGTATGCATAAGCCATTCCTATAACAATAAACCTATCTAATTCGCAAAAACAAAATCAACGTATCTTTTTCATCACAAACACAAAATCCTGAAGCAATTTCAAAATAGAAAAGAAGGTGAGATATAGAATATCTATCTCTGGAAAGGAGAATTCCTGTCAAACAGACAACAAATGGTCAAAATTGAGAGCGTCCTATCAAATTCTGTACCTGTCAACAGTGGTGTCCCCCAAGGCAGTGTTCTAGGACCAACTCTCTTCATACTCTACATAAATGACCTCTGTGATCATATCAAGAGCAGCTGCATTCTCTTCGCTGATGATGTAAAGCTATTCAACACCACTGACAATACTGCTAGCCTTCAAAAAGACCTCAACTATGTATCAGAATGGTCAAACAAATGGCAACTTCAAATCTCAACAAATAAATGCTCTGTCCTACATATTGGCAAAAAAAATCAGAAAATAAAATACAAGCTAAATAGTCAAGATCTTGTTGATGATCCAAGCTCTGTAAAGGACCTTGGAATACTCATCTCTAATGATCTAAGTGCTAGAGCCCACTGTAACTACATAGCCAAAAAGGCATTAAGAGTTGTTAATCTAATCCTACGTAGTTTCTTCTCTGGTAATATCACACGACTAACTAGAGCATACAAAACATTTGCTAGACCAATATTTGAATACAGCTCATCAGTCTGGAACCCACATTACGTATCTTATATTAGCACAGTTGAGAAAGTCCAGAAATATTTCACAAGAAGAGTTCTCCACTCCTCTACTCATTGCAGAATACCTTATGCCACCAGACTCGAAATTCTAGACCTAGAAAACCTAGAACTATGCCGCCTTCGGTCCGATCTAAGTATAGTATATAAAATCATACATTGCAATGTCCTACCAGTCAATGAATACTTCAGCTTCAACCAAAACAATACAAGACCACACAATAGATACAAACTCAAGGTTAATCGCACCAAACTTGATTGAAGGAAATAGGACTTCAGCAACAGAGTGGTCAATGTCTGGAATACTCTACCTGACTCTGTGGTTTCTTCCCCAAACCCCAAAAACTTTAACCTTAGACTGTCTGCTATTGACCTCACCCCTTTCCTAAGGGGTCTGTAGTGGGCGTGCATAAGCGCACCAACATGCAGACTAGACTGTCCCTGTCCTATTGTTTCTTTTTATTTTTCTTATATGTATCCATGTATTCGTAACTATGTTTTTACTTATACCTATGATCTTGTAAGCAATTGACTAACTAAATAAATAAATTTTCTTCTTTGGCTAAAAAACCCCCCACACATTTCTTTCATTATTTATCTTCACCGTCGTCGCTACGAAAGAGTATCTCTGTCCCTCGTAAGCAGGAAGGCGCTTTGGAGCCGCTGCGTGACAGCTTGGCTTCCGTGTAATTTATTTTTATTTATTTATTTATTTGATTTGTCAATTGCTTACAAGATAATAGGTAAAAGTATTTACATAGTTATGAATACATGAAATGGATACATATAAGAAAAATAAAAAGGAACAATAGGACAGGGACGGTAGGCACGTTGGTGCGCTTATGCAAGCCCCCTAGAGACCTCTTAGGAAAGGTGTGAGGTCAATAGTAGACAGTCTAAGGTTAAAGTTTTTGGGGTTTGGGGAAGAAACCACAGAGTCAGGTAGAGTATTCCAGACATCGACCACTCTGTTGCTCGGGTGTTGCACAGCCCTGCCACCACCGCCCTTTTTTTTTTTTTTTTTTGCTTCCAACCCTCCCCGGGGGCGGTTGTTTCTTTCGGATCATTTTCATTTTTCCTTCGCCGCTCATCTTTCAACGTCAGTGGGAATTTCCAGCTAGGAAGTGAGAGGGAGGCGAAAGTGCGGCGGGGAAACGCGCCAGAAGTGGGCGGGAGGGAGGTGCGAGGCGCTCCGGGTCGCGCGCCCAGGGAGCGCGCCCGCGCTCCGCCTGTCTTGTATCTGCGTGGGCGGCTAGGCGGGCAACGACGTCCTCGCGGGACCCGGGCAGGGACGGTGCGCGGGGTTTTCTTTCTCCCCTCCCCTTATTGCTCGACCAAGTGCCAAGCCTTGGGCAGCCCCCCCCCCCGCGATCCCGAACAGCCTTTTGCGCTGACATGGCGCTCTTTTGACCCGGACTTCGCCGCCGCCACGGTTGCTTGGCTTCTCCTTCCTTTTCTCTCCCACCGCGCTGGTCTCTCCGATCTTTCCTTCCCTGGACTGAAAGTTCTCGGGCATAATCCCATTCCCGAGTGTAAGGTGAGTCTCCGGGGAGCGCCTTCTCCCCATCCTTCACGACCAGGCTTTCTCAGGCTCGGGACTAGCGGGAACAAACCGCGCTTTCGGTGCCATGCGGAAACAGTTGCGAAGTCGGGAAAGAAACTTTTTTAAAAAAATTATTTTTCCTCCGACGGGTGGTTTCGTCCCCTGGGTTTATATAGCAAGCGAAGCTGTTTTTGCCCCCTTCTTTTTACGATGCCAGGATTTGAGGTGGCCCGCGTTTCCCTGACAGCCGCGGTCGGTCCTTAAGCTTGACAAACGAGGCTGGGTCTTGGGATGGAAGACCCTGATACCGAGTTAAATCGACGCGCCTTTCAGCCCAGTCTGTATCTTCCATAGCAGGGGTCTCCAACCTTTAAGCCTGGAGGACTTCAACTCCCACAATTCCCTAGCCGGAGATGGCTGGGGAATTCTGGGAGTTGAAGTCCTCCAGGCTTAAAGTGGCCAAGGTTGGAGACCCCTGATCCATAGGGTCAAATATCAAAGGCAGAGACCCAAAGCAGCTCTCTCTCTCTCTCACTCTCTCTCTCTCTCTCTCTCTCCCTCCCTCCCCCTCGCTCCCTCCCTCTCTCGCGCTCTCTCTCTCTCTCTCTCTCTGCCTTCGTATTTGACCCTATGGATCAGGGGTCTCCAACCTTGGCAACTTTAAGTTTGGAGACCCCTGCTATGGATGTTATAGACATCAATGGATTTTGGGATCTAAAACCCACCCCCACCTTAAGACTTAACCCTACTGAAATCCCTCCCAGTAGGCGCCTCCTTTTAGTTGTACATGATCTTGAGCTTGACTTTTAGAGAGGAGATCATATTTGCTGTATGGAAAGCTGTATTTTGTCACATTGTCATGCCTTTGTGTGTGTATGGGTGTGCGTGTTTGCATGCATGAGATCAACAGAAGTTTCTACTTCCTCATTCTTTCGTAAAAGACAAGGCACTATTCCTTGTTCACATAAAGTTTCTGGAGCACATGGTTTTAGGCCTTCCCTAAATGATGCATCCAGCTAATGAAAAGTTGCAACTTTTTTTTCCTTTGCCACAGATTCTCCTAGAGGGGTACCAGAGACCGACATGCAGCTAGTAAAGTTTCCCCCATAACTTCCTCTCTATTTCAGGAACAGTCTCTGTCTGCACATGGCAAATGCCTCAATGTATCATCATTTATGACTGTTAAAAGACATAAGACGTTTTGCTGCGGGAAGGTGGTAGCAGCCTTTGATAAGGAGTGCAGGATCTTGTGGGAATGCGATTGCCTTTCTCATCCTTGCATTGTTCAGAAAAAGGCCATTCGGGCAAAACCAGTGAAAGTATTTGTACTTCAGATAGCATCTTCACAGATACTGAAAGTAGTCTTTTTAGCAGCAGGAATGAATAAAGACAAGTTTCTCTTGCAATGATGTAAACATTATCTCTTCAGTGCCCAGATTTTATTGAACTGATTTCTTAGATCTATGTTCTGTCTCTCTGCTAGTGACTTAATATTGTACGTAAGAATATTTCTTCCACATTTTCTTTGAGACAGAGATAGGCTAGCCTGAGAGAATAACTGATCTGTAGTCATCCAATACAGTTTCATGGCTGAGGAGCGCTTGAAACTGAGTTTTCTTATCTTTAATGCTTTTAATGCATGTAATCCAACATCTAATCACGTTTCTACATGCTGATTGCCCTATATCAAGCAGTCTGCAAACATGGGATTAGGAGCTGACTATTCTTTTCACTGTGTCACTGTCATTTTTTTTTCTTCAGATGAATGTAATAGTTTTCATTGTTGATATGACTTCCTCTAAGTATGAGGGCTAGAACTGCAATGTAACTGTTATTACATTGTTCTGCCAAAAGAGATCTGATTCTTAAAAAGGACCTCAAAGAAAAGAAAATCAATGTATAAATAGAGAGTAAAAATTACCAGAAATGGAGATAAGGGAAATAGGTCCAGTATGTTTTTCAGTGCTGAGTTCTGCTTTGGAAACTTTTAATATTTTGAGCATGAGCAGTATATGTCTACTTAAATGAAGGACGGGAAATCACTCTAAAAGTCAAACATTTGAGTTTAGGTTTATATGAATATCTAATATTGGTAAGAAATAATTATTATCACAGCATAAATGGGAAGTTTCATATAAAAATACATTATATAAGTAAACTACCGTATTTAAATCTCGCTTGTTTTTTTATACCTAACTTAGATTCTTATGGCTGTTTTGGTTGGATAATATCAGTGCAATTCCAGCATGCAGTTTGATGATTATGTGCCAATTCTTAGTGACCACATAGATAGATTTACTCCATGACGATCTGTTCCCAACGTAATCTTCAGCTTTTCCAACTGTGTACCCATCACCTCTGTAACAGACTCCATTCACATAATTGCTGGTCATCTTCTCTTTCCTTTCACACCTCCCATTGTTAGAGCGTTCTCTGGATAAAAATGCAATCTAGGCATTGTTTAAGTGAAGCACATTTAAGAATCTATGCAGACAAAGCTGAGATGAGATAGGTGAAGCAGGGCTTATGCCTTTGCGTATTGGCCATTATTGTGGATTGTCAAATGTGTTGTTGAGATTATCACGGCAACATGAAAGTCTGTCCTGAATATAAATGGGAAGTCAGTGCAGTTCAAGAAGTTACACCTGCCTTTTAAATATTAGACAAGGGATACATTAGACTCGAGAATGAGGAGAAAGGACATTGTGAAGTCTGCCGTCTATTAACTTATGTATGCTATATATTCTGAAATAAATTGCATTTTTTCACAATATAAAGTATTTTGGCATGAAAATATGATTTGTTGTGTCAGTAATTTATAATGGAAAAGCTGAAATCGGATTGTAAAGCATTTCTTTCTTTGCAGCTGAGTTTTGCAGAATTTACAAGATTAATTTCCTTAATAAATATTGCAGCAATTCTGAAGATACTCAGTAGTGGTTTTGCATTATTATTAACAAATACTGACTGCCTACATGTTCAGTTTTATTCAGTTACTTCCATGTTATTGTTCAGTATATATTTTTTAAATTAAAAATATATCTCATCTAAAACATATATGAAGCTTTGTTGTTTTTTGGTTGATTCTTGACTAAGAAATAAGTTCTTTTCTCTACAATAAGACTGTAGAGGTGATGATGATGATGATGACATGAAATAGAGCCTGCCTTTGTATTGTATCAACCCTGAGTTTTATCTATTTCAAAACTCTGTGGCTACATTTTCCAGTGTAATGCCACTAAAATTCTGAGGCTGTGACACCTCTTGTGTTTCCCAAGTGGTACTGGTGGATCTGCTATCCTCTGATTGGAGATGTGATACATCCATAATTATCATTGGTAACCTTAACTGCCTTTCATATGTTAAAAATAGATAGAT